TCTCAGTCTGCACGTGTCTCCATCAGACGGTTCTCCTTCGGCCACATCTCCCCTGCAGACTTTGTCTACAGAGGTCTCTCCCTTCATTCTTTATCAGAGAACCCCAATCACTTTCTTCATAGTACCGGGCTCAGTTTACAAATACTGGCTTATGAATAGCTGTGCTTATTTCCTTATCTCTTCCCCCAAAGACTGTAAGAGATTCCATCTATTCCATTCTCTGCTGTAGAACAAATTTGCAACTGTAGTGGACATGAAGCAAACATAATAGAAGTTGCTTAAATGAACAAACATATATCATGACACAAATGGATGACAGCTTTGAAGAAACACATTTGCCTGAGAAGAAACCAAATGTAAGCCTTCTGTTCAAATGATTACCCGTACCCATTTAACCTTCTTTTTCTTTGGGCTCTGCCTGTCCCTTTACCCAGTTTGGGATTTACAGGAACTCAGGGTTTCCAACGTGGTATGGCCTGAGGAAACACGAAATGAGCCCACTGCTTATGTTTCATTCCCAGATTTTTGACCCCTGTATATTTGAAGGGAAATCTAACCTTGATTCATTTATAGTTGGTAAAAACTATTTCATCTAATTGTCCTCTTTTTTTTTTTAATCAAAACCTTCTTTTGCTGACACAGGAAGTCATATTTTGTCAAGACTAGATGAACTTGAACCCAGAGAGGTTTGAATTCTACTGCAACCTCAAAAACCACAAAAATGGAAGAAATGTGGGAAGTCAAATATGTTCTTGTGCCTCATCGATAGGGCCTAACATTTTTTTCATCTCGGGAAGATTTATGTGTTGCCAGTTCCAGCCCTACCCGTAGTTTCTTGGTATAGACATGAGACACCATGTGGGGACTCCAACTTCAGAAGCCAGTTTTCACTGCAACCCCTTTTGGCTTTTTGAGTTTCTAACGTAACCTTTGCAAACAGCTGGTCCAAATTCCATCATGTCCCAGACCCACACAGACCTCCTCTGCGTTATATTCAGTTTGAGGACAAAGGAAGTTCAGGGAGGAACAGTGAGCAAGATGTGATTTGGCCAAGTGATTATAGCTGCTTTGCAAGCAGCTACCCAGAATACAGATTTTACTGTTTTTTTTTAAACCTTTAAATGACTTATGGAACCGTATACTTTTATGCTTTTTTTTTCCTCCAGAGCTGAGAGAGAGGGCTCACCCCTCCTATGTGATGGACCACCCATTAAAATAAACCCTCTACAGTCACAAAGCATATCTCCTCATGACTTGGTTAACCCCCACAAACACAAAGACCACCACAGCCCTTGACTTCTATCAGTGAGCAAAATGGAATTAAATAATGTGTCACCCCTCCGACTTTGATGAGAGTTGTATATAAACAGAGTGCAAGAGGAAAGAGATTCTAGTTCTGGGTCTAGAGTCCGAAGGCCTTAGGTTTATACCTTAGCTTTTTCACCTGTGAAATATATTACCTGGACCTCAATTTCCTCAGGTTTTCGAAAAGCAGGGCTAAACAAGAGAAACTTCCACATCAGAGGATTTCTACGAGACTCAAATAAGTGAACGCAGATAAAATGCTGAGCACAGGCTCCGTGGAAAGTATGTATTACATACTCAACAAATAGAAGTCAGTAGCATATTTTTTATCATCATTTTTTTTCTTTCTGAATGAGGAATAGTTAATACTCTGGTTTCCCTTCAGATTGCATAAATCTTTCACCTTTTACTGAATGAGGAATAGTTAACAGCAAAGCTGTCTGAGGTAGAATCTGGTCAGTTTATAGGGCTCATTCAGGAGCTCTGCACACATGGGTATACATCGGTCTTGGCATACAGAGTTCAAATTCCTTCTATGGCAAAAGGGTGAGTAACTTCATGGCATGAATGTTAGGGACTACCTTCAAGGAGACTAAACTGTAAGTGTCAAGCGTCTATAATTTTTTTTAAAAAGTATTTATTTATTTTGAGAGAGTGATAGAGAGTGAGAAGGGGAGGGGCAGAGAAAGAGGGACACAGAGAATCCCAAGCAGGCTTCAGACCATCGGTGTGGAGCCCAATGTGGGGCTCAAACTCATGAACTGCGAGATGACGACCTGAACTGAAATCAAGAGTCAGACGCTTAACTGACTGAGGCACCCAGGTGCCCCCAGTGTCTACTATTTTTTAAATTTTATGTCCTGGAACTTGAGATGTGAAACCAACTAACATTCAACCACGGATGAAAATATTTGGGGGTCAAAAGTGAAATTCCATGTTTAAATGATCAGAGACAGGTATTCCAATGCACTACTAATGGAAGTAGAAATTGGTTTCACCATTTAGGAAAGCGCTGTGAAAACATCCGTTGATGTTAAAGCTTACGCATCATCTCAAGACCTAGTAAGTCTACTTCACTGTGTTTAACACTAGAGAAACACACCCAAGAAGACAGGCACAAAATATTTAGAATGGCGTGGTTTGCATTAGTGAGAGAAACTGGACACAACTGAAAGTTCCTTTCACTTTTAAATAAGAGGAGCTAATTCCTTGAAGAAATAACCCTAAATATTTCAACAGATTCACAATTTGTTGTGCGGTTCGTGGACAGCCTATGTGGTGATTCCGTTACCCAACCTTATTTCATAGGTGGCTCTGCCATTCGCTGGGACCTTGGAAACTTCTGCTAAATCTTTTGCATTCTGCTAGCACACAAGGCATGAGGAAAGGCAGCAAAGACTTTGACATTTGAATAGATCGAGCCTGGGTCACAGATCACTTCTTTCCACAATTCAGCGGCCAGAATGCAGTAACCGAAGCCGTATCTATTCATGATGTGGTCCAGATACAGGTTCGGGAAGAATGGGAACCAGGCTTTTGATGAACAACTACTCAGTTTCCGACACAAATACTGTAAGAATATTAAAAGAATAAGGCTGGTCTCTTTTACTAGCAAACGAGCCTTCTAAGACATACCACTGAGTGAAAAAGCAAGCGAGACACATATCACAGAATGGGTTCCTTGGAGGCAAACTCTAAGACGGTGTTTACCGTTCAGGAAACTTATTAAGGAATATGCATTTTATCAGTATGTGAGGAAGCAGGATCGGTCAGAGGAAAAAGCTGAGCTGCAATGCAGGCCCAACGGCAGCTTCAGTCGCTCCACAGCGTTCTGAACCTAAAAGTTCATTCTGAGTTGTCCCAAGATGGGCCAACATTGAGAGTCTTGCACTGAACTGGCGTTAAGAATGTGCACAGCGGTTTCAAATGGAACCGGATCGGTTATTGAACGCTGGCTGAATCTGAAAGGGGTGAGGCTGAGGAGCTTCTGTGCAAGTCGTCAGTCCCTGAAGGGCTTGGCAGCTGAAGACTGTCTGCTAACGACATTCCATAATGAGGCAAGGAGTCCTTCATGGAAGAGTCACGTGGGCAATGCACAGCAGGTCTACCTCGCGCCGCAACAATCGAATCGTCTACCATTACTGCCAACCAAAAGGACATGAGTACTTTCTCTGACTGAATTTCTGCATGCATACATAAAAGCAATTTGAATACGTAAAAAGCTGGACACTGACAAGCATCAGGATTGTTGTGTTCCTTTTGAGAAAAGGACGCAGGTCTGAGACGGAGGGCAAAGGTCAAGGAAAAGTTATCGGAAATGTTAATGTTTTTAAACAGAGAAAATGAATTGACACATTAGTTCTGTGATGAGGATTTAATAAAATGGCATTTGAGATGTATTTCTTGTACAAATATAGTGAGCAAAACAATATTCTATAGGAGTAGGACTTTCCATTTCTAAAGCGTTGGATTAAAATAGCTCTAATTTGGGGCGCCTGGGTGGCGCAGTCGGTTAAGCGTCCGACTTCAGCCAGGTCACGATCTCGCGCTCCGTGAGTTCGAGCCCCGCGTCAGGCTCTGGGCTGATGGCTCGGAGCCTGTTTCCGATTCTGTGTCTCCCTCTCTCTCTGCCCCTCGCCCGTTCATGCTCTGTCTCTCTCTGTCCCAAAAATAAATAAAAAACGTTGAAAAAAAAATTAAAAAAAAATAAAATAAAATAGCTCTAATTTATTCAAGGATTGATGGACTTTCCTTCTCTCTTCTTCCTCCCACAGGTTTATGGCCATTTCATTGCTCACTGTATCTCCATCAAAGGGTGACTGGGGTTGGGGGGCCTGGGTGTGGGGAGGAGAGGAAGGAAACTAGAATCAGCAATTTCCATTACTTGCTAGCAACTCTGGTGAATATGTTTAGTGGGGGAAATGCTGAAAATCAGTTATTTGGATTATCTGAGCCTGTCAACCATCCATGTTACACCCTCTTCCCATTAGCAGAGACTCATGAGAATTGGCCATAATTGCATTTGCAGTGACGGCAATTGAAACAAGATTGTTTTCAATGACGGTGTGGTTCTGACTGAACTATTATTTTTTTCTCTTTCAAACAGCATGTATCCTAACAAGGCATTTTGAGGAAAGAGACAGAGCCCACTGTATTCTCACCTGTTACTTATCTACCAGTCTTTCAGGAAAAGATAGTTAATCTAGACAGAACAAGACAATTTTGTTTTAATCTGGTAATAGAATAGCTTATTAGGGATGCCTAGTAGCAGAAAGGCATAATATAATCAGTAAAAAGACATGAAGGTCACCTGGGTGGCTTGATCGGTTGTGTCCCACTCTTGATTTTGGCTCAAGGCATGAATCCATGATTTGAGCTCCGTGTCAGGCACAGTGATGATAGTGCGGAGCCTGCTTGGGGTTCTCTCTCTCTCCCTCTCTCTGCCCCTCCCCTGCTCTCTCTCGATAAATAAACAAACAAACACACAAACACACACACACACATGGTGAGTGAGAAAGAGAGAGAGAGACAGAGCAGGGAAGGGACAGAGAGAGAAGGAGAGTGAGAGAATCCCAACCAGGGTCTGCACTGTCAGCACAGGGCCTGTCTCAGGACTCCCAACTCGCCAACCATGAAATCATGACCTGAGCCAAAATCAAGAGTCAGAAGCTTAACCAAGTGAGTCACCCAAGCGCCCTTCAATAAATATTTTGAATAAATAGTTGTTGAATTCAAAATAATTGAATATTTTCACAATGCCAGTGTTATAACTCTATCCTTAAAATCTCTGTGTTGTGACTGTTCATACACTGGGTTTTAACCAAGTCACTGCCAAGATGAATGGTTTTCTCTTGGAATTACAATGCTGTGTCGGAAAAACCTTAGAATAAAATTCAAAAGAGTACGGCTCTGAGTCAGACCACCACTTATTTCATTTAGTGATTTTTGAGACAAATCCCACAGACTCTGTCAGTTCAGCTATCAAATGAATATACAGGGACAAATCCTATGCTTAATGTCTTATACATATTTTTGTATTCATGATTTTACCTTGACACTGATGTTAACAACCTATTGAAGGGTTTCATTGGTATCAAACACAACTGAATCTTGACCTAACTATAGATTGACTGACGTTAAGTAAGCTAAATGGTCTCCTCAAGATTCTATGCCTACGTCTTCATTTTAAAATGAGTTCATATACTTATAGTTCATTTCTCATCAGATTGCTGTGAAGTCAAAAGTGAAAAAGCATGTAAAGTGCCTTGCACAAAGCCTTCATATAAAAGGGAGTTATCTTCAAGTCTCAGCTATCCCTTTAACAAGGCTCGCTCTGCTTTTCTCTTTTTCCAAGGAAAAACACACGTTGTAAAATAAGCATTCTTCAAAGACAACCTGAAGACGTCTGGGAATTCCAAAGGCTGAAAATTCCATGAGTTCATAGAAGCTTTCACTAATTCCACAGATTTAAAGACAAAAGAGAGAGAGTCAACTGTGTGCCCAAACTCATTTCTGATGATTTCTTCCATCCTACCCTTTCTGCCTCTCTGGGGGTGGCTGTGCCTGTAAAAAACATTGAAGTTGTCAGGAACAGAGTCTGCTTTCAAGACTGGAATGTCAGAGTAGAGGCTTCTGTTCCTCAGACCAGAAGAGACTTGATTTGGTAAGAGTTTCCAGGTCTGAAAGGAGACAGAGCTGAGACATGGGAACTGATACAGATAAACAGCACAAACACCTTGAGAGAGTGATATATCAAGAGAGACTAGAATAGGACAAGAACAAGATCATGACACAAGATGAGATAAGAAACCAGAAGACCCTGTCTAAAAGCTCTAATGTGTGTTGCAACCAGAGGTTGACCATATCCCACAAAATTCTACATTACATAATTGCAATGGGTAATGGGCGCTTCCTTGTAAAAAGGAGAGATTTGTTTTCCCTTTTATGGCTAAAGTAAAAAGCACGAAAAGTAGCCCCATTAGGAAAAATAAAGTGTCGTCATGTGAACTGGCACATCTCAGGTGAGTTAGAATAAGATGATTATGGAACTGGGTTGGTTTTTCATAAAGCAAAACCTTATTTCTAAAGGTGCCGAGAGACAGGATGGGGACAGGTATTACAAGGTTCGGGTAGTCTCTTTTGTTGTAAATAGACCAGTAAACAATACACAGTTGGAAACAGAGCCAAAGAAAGGGCTTCCATTCCTCACTAGAACATAAGCTCCAAGAAGTCTTGTTTTGTTCACTGCTGTCTTCCAAGCTCCTAGATCATGCTCAGCCCTTGATGATTATCTATTGAGTAAATTAGCCAGCTGTGAGGCCTTGAAAAGAAACCAGTACATCTGTGGAATAGGGAGTAGGTTTAGATATTCTCTAAGGCCATCCTAGTTTTAAAATTTTATGGTTGTATCAGAAACTACAAATGAAAAAATGGACTTCACATTTTTTCTCTCTATTACCTATGTTATTTCTTCATCCAATGTCTGTATGATCTATTCTAGCACGGCCAGGTGTAGAAAAATACCCCTGGTGGGGTATAAGATGTCTTCAGGAGTCCAAAGATAATTACTCTTTAAAATGAAACCTTTTTTTTTCAATATGGGTAAGAAAAATACAATTCGTTTTTCAACTCCATTTATCATAATGTTGTAGAGTTTACTTTTCAAATAAAGTTACAGGCAAGTCAACTTAATTGAAATATTTTAAGTAAATTACAATGCAAGTGTCTTACAGCAAAACTCACAAAAAGTAGAATACAAGCAACTCCTGTTTGAGAAAAGCACCTCCATACAGCATAGATCTCAAAACCTGATTTTGACTAGTGATCTCTAGAGGAATGAATCCCATCTGAGGTAACCTTTAACACTACAGCCCTATTTGTAGTAAAGTAACTACCTTCATTGTACTCTTTAAAAATATAGTAGGTATTTTTAATACCTTTATATTAAATATACAGTAGCTACTGGGCAGCTCAGTCAGTTAAGCGTCCCACTTCAGCTCAGGTCATGACCTCCCTGTTCGTGAGTTTGAGCCCCTTGTCAGGCTCTGGGCTGACAGGTCAGAGCCTGGAGCCTGCTTTGGATTCTGTGTCCCCCTCTCTCTCTGTCCCTCCCCCATTCATGCTTTGTGTCTCTTGGTCTCTCAAAAATAAATAAAAACATTAAAAAAATTTAAAAATATACCTGTACTTCCGGCCATGATAGATTAACAGCTACTGAAGAAACCACCTACCATAAACAATTAGAAAACTGAAAAAAAAATCTATGTATTACCACTGTTTTCAGACCGTGGACTACAGACAGCACAAGACTATGATCCCTAAGAAAAAGAAAACAGATGAGGTAAGGACATAATAGAATTTTTTTTTTTTTTTTTTTTTTTTTAACCAGGAGATACTTTTCAGATGGCTAGTCAGGGAAAGGAAGCCCAGGTAGAACATGGGCCCTCACTAACTGGAACAGACAGATTTCAAAGACTGAGGAAGCTGAAGTGACTGGAATTTGTGGGGCAAAGCACTAGAAAGGAAAGAGATATTTAGGAAAGAAATTCAAAAAATATGCACAAGGGCGCCTTTAAGCCTTTGGGTGATTATCAAGCCATATAGAGCAATACTCCACAAGGTACAGAACTGGGGAAAGAACAATAATTTAACTTAATGGCTACCTTATCTCCCATTGGGCTGAACCATCTTCAAGATCCGGCTAGCCAGAGAGAAGAAACATCACTGAAGAAACATCACTGAAGAAACATCACATTAAGCAGTTAGTAGAGACCCTAGAATGGCCATGCCTCAGTAATGATACAAAATTATCCCTGGAATAAAGACTACTCCATACCTTCCCTAACACATCTTAAGAACAAGTCTCATAAAGATTAAAGTGATCCATACTTTAAATGACTGCCAGATCACAGAGCAACACTATTTAAAGGAACATCATAAAACCTGGACATTCAACAGTACAACATTAAGAAAGCACCGCATGTAATCTAAAATTACCACACCTGCAAAGGATTAGAAAAAAACCTTTTTCTTCCCCCACAAGCAGAAGAAAAATTAGGCAACAGAAATAGACCCACAAGTGACAGAGAATATGTAATTAGCATACGAAGAATTTAAAATAGCTATCATAGGGGCGCCTGGGTGGCGCAGTCGGTTAAGCGTCCGACTTCAGCCAGGTCATGATCTCGCGGTCCGGGAGTTCGAGCCCCGCGTCGGGCTCTGGGCTGATGGCTCGGAGCCTGGAGCCTGTTTCCGATCCTGTGTCTCCCTCTCTCTCTGCCCCTCCCCCGTTCATGCTCTGTCTCTCTCTGTCCCAAAAATAAATAAAAAAAACGTTGAAAAAAAATTTTTTTAAAAATAAAATAGCTATCATAAATAGTTGGATTAAAAAAACACGAATACAGTAACAGAAATGAAAACTGTTAAAAAAAAAAAGAACCAGTGAAACTTCTAAAACAGAAAAATATTTAAAGTGAAAAAATTCACTAGGTATAATAGCAGTTTGATTCTGCAGAGGTAAAGGTCAGTGAACTTAAAGAGAAGAAAGGATATCTTTTCAAAAACTGGTGCTGTAACAATCAGATGTCTGCGTTGGAAAATATCAACTTTGAACCCAAGTTCCTATCACATACAAAAATAAACTAGGAACAGATCCCAGAACTGAATGTAAAATCTAAAACTGTACAAAGTTGTGACTTTATTTAGGCAAAGATTTCTTAGGACACAAAAAGTACTAACCATTTGAAAGACTGATAAATTAGATTTCATCAAAATTAAAAATTTTGCTACTGATAAAACAACCACAAAAAAAGATGTCAAGTCAAAAATTCAAAGAAAATAGTCGTAATACTTATCTTTACCCAGAATATATAGATAAAAAAACTGTCATAACTCAATAATAAAAACACAACCGAATTTTAAAAATGGGCAAAAGCATTGAATATACACCTCACAAATGAAAAAAATACCTTCAGTGGCCAATAAGCACTGAAAGATCTTTCAAATCACAGTCACCAAAGAAATGCAATTTTAAACCACTCTATACCCACTAAAATGGTTAAAATGAAAAAAAAGAGGAACATTACTAATATTTGCCAAGAATACAGATCTGGAAATGTCACCCATTCGCGGTGGGAGTGTAAATAGTGTAAGTATCTTAGAACACAGTTTGGTAGTTTCTTGTAAAGTTAAATATAAACTTACCATATGACCCACCAGTTCATCTCCTATGTATGAACCTAAAAAATAAAAAGTATGTGTGCATAGTCTGCTAGTCTATTTATGTGAGTGTTTGTTGATATATACAATATGAATGAGCCTCAAAAATATTTTGCTGAGTGAAAGCAGCCACACACAAAAGAATATATAGCACATGATTCCATGTGTATAGATAGATTAGTCTATACTGATAGTAATGTAATGGCAACTAAAGTTGGGTTGGGAAGTTGTCTGGGCAGGAGCAGAAGAGAATAGTTTAGTGAGTTGGAAATTTTCTGTTTCTTGACTTAGGTGATGGTTACATGTGTTTATGCATATATCAAAACTCACTGAGCTACACACTTTGAACGGGCACATTCATTTTGTAGTATGTAAATTATACTTCAATAAACTTGAGAATATGTTTATTTACACACTCACAGGGCAAAGTTATTTTAGGTTTCTGCCTATACATCTTTTGTATCATTTATCTTTTTTCTATTTCTTTTATTTCAGATTTGTATTCTCTGATGTCTCCCCTTGCCTACAAAGTTTGGTAAGTTTGAGCCCCTTCCCCCATCATGGTGCATGACCAACATAACAAGTGATAGCTGTTGTCATGTCTGCAAAGGCTTTCAGTTGTACAAAAAGAAAACTTCACAGACTGTTCCCAATTAGGTGACGTACCCATGTAAGGTCGGTGGTAAACCAACTGAGACCCACAGATCTATAATCTTCTAGCTCGTATTGATGCCGCAATGCTTAAGTTAATTGTTCTTTAGGCAGATCTTTAGCAAGTTTACTTTATTTCTTCTTCTTCCAAACACAACAAACTAAGGCTGTTATCCCAAGTCTACGTTCCTGAATGCCATGCATTGGTGAAAGGAGGCAGGAGGAAAAAGCTTGATGACTCAATACTCTTTTCATGCTCTGAAAGCCTCTTTGGACTAAAGATAATACAAACTCTGGGTGTTGTTGCCAAAAACATGAGATTTTTGGTTTCAGCTGATGATTCAGGAGCTCAAAGTGTCAACTGGGTAATGGTACCCAGGAATAATTCAGTCCACCAGTCTTTGTAGAGTGATTGGACACAATGCAGGTCAACAACACTGAACAGCCAAAAAACAAAAGTACGTTGTCAGCTAGCAACAATGAGAGAATCTTAACAGGTATAATTTATAGCACTACTGTTGATGAAGTTAGTAACCTTTAGCAAGGAGACAGACAATCAATAAATAGCTGCCTGAGAGTCTGCACCTGCAGAAATTTAAGTGGAAATTGACCAGAAAGTCAGCTGTAAGAGGTACTAGCAGAATATTTAAACCAGATGAAAAAATTTAAGGTTAATGATAAATAAGTGACCAAAAATGTAGCATTAGAATAATGATTTCTTCAACTTCCTAGAAAAACTGGATGAATGTTCACTAAAAAAAGAAAGAAGAAAGCAAATGTAGAGAATAATACATTGATGCATTTACGGAAAGGGCTTGGGGTATTTAAACTGTGGCTTTGAAACCGCAGAAGGGGAAAACATATTTTTAGAATTTAGCGCATGCATTTCTATTTATCAGTGTACCATCTATTTCTCTGCTTAGATTTTATGGTATTACTGTGGAGATACTTGTCATACAGCTTATTCAATTGGACCACGGTATATGGATGTACAGAGTTAATCAACGTTGTAGATAAGTGATAAGGCCTCGGGGAAGAAGAACATTAAAGCTCTGGTCTAACACAATGAGTTAACACCCTTGGGAATGAAGAGCTATTAAACAAAACAGGGAGGCCATATTGCTCAGTGAATTCAGGGAGATCTAATGGGAATTTCAGAGTAAATTTATTTTACAGATGTGTAGGCAGCTTAATAATTCCAAGTGCTTTTTCTATTCTAAAGCAAATCACCCCACCACATCTTTTCATTTAACACTAATCAATTTGCTTAATGGATTAGGAAGGGAAAGGATGTGCCCCAAGTAAAATGATCCTTCTTATCTTTAAGTTTTGCACTTGTAACTCCTTTCACAGCCTTTTACAAATCTACATTAGCTGTGCTGTCACAACTTAAGTACATCTTTTGGCTTCAGGAATTGTGGGGGAGTTCAGGAGAGTCACTTTTTACAGTAGTAAGACAGCTCTACCAACAAGTAAAGGGCTCATCAAAAATAGAAGACATCAAACAGACAAAGCGATCAGGTAGCTTCGAGTAACTTCCCATCTTAGTGCAGCAGAATCAGATACGTCTATATCCTCAAACATTCCATATCCTGGTTTCAAAATGTTCACTTTAAAATAGATAGTAAATAAACCCTGACTTGTGACAACTTTTTGCTATTATCCCCTATCAACTTGAGGTCAGACAGTGAATGGTATCCTGTGGATTTTAAAAACTAGTGACTATCTCAATTTAGACTCAAGGTCCAAGGACAACTGGACCTGCTTCTATGAATACTAGTAACATTCCATAGAAGGCATTCTTACTTTTCGTTGTCTAATTCAGAAACCACAAATAAAACGTTGCATTCAAACTAAATGAAATTAAGAACTTTTATGAAAGAGGATAACACTTTTTAACAGTAACATTTTCGACTTGGAAACATTTGATTGAGGGTCTGAACGCTCTGTTCTGCACACTAGCTCTGTGAGACCAGCTCTGTTGTAAGCTGCTTCCATTAGTGTCAGTAATGTAAGAACTACAACTACAGGTTTTTTTCCCTCTGTTCAAGTCACTGTTCTAAGTTCTCTACGGTTACTCACTGAATTCTCCGAATAACATTATGCATTAATTATCATCTTCTCCACTTGACAAGTGAAGATATTGAAGCGCTAAGAATATTTAACGTGCTCAAGATCGCAGAACTTGGGAAGAGATGAAACAGGTTTGAGCTCTGCACAAAAAGGCGTCTGTAACTCTACAAGGAACACAACAGGAGTGGGCCCATGAAAACCCACCTGTAGATGTCCTTTAGCTAAAAATACCAGCCAAGTCGAATGAAACAGCAAACAATCAATGAGGGTCAGCTAGGGTCAGTATCTTTTTATGCCCAATTATAAAAAAGATTCTCTTATAGTTAGTCCATATGAATTTGTGTTAAAGAAGGTACAAATACCAAAACGAGAGCAGGTTAGCTTCTGAAATATAAGAGAGACATTTTAGAATCACTTGCTGGTGGTACATCCTATTGCTAAAAAGTGATCTTCATCAGAAAACAATTTTAAAAAGTCACCAACAGTTTTAACTACGGAATACTGAATAGATTTTCCAGTCTACTGTTATGGAATGGAGCACAGTGAATGTTTGCTCAGCAGGCACTGAGAATGGCATTTTACACACGGCCCGGCATGTTGGGTTAAGAATTACGTCATTTCTAACCGATTTGGAAACTGAGGCTCCAAACATGCTACAAGTCACACAGCTCTCCCGGGTGGTAATGGTGGGATTCATCTCCTGGTCTGTTTACAAAAACTCTCATTCTTTCCACTCTCCTGCACTTTGAATCTCATCACAGAAGCCCTAAATTCAAATAACAACAGAGATCACTGTCCAAGATGAGTTTCAATTGTCAGCTTGTCCATTGAGATAGAGAGTTTGGCTTTGGAAAAGAAAATCAGTGGTTAGTCTGTCACCCTATTTCCACTTCTTCTCTCTCAGCTTACGCAGGAGAAGGTTTCCTTGAAATTTTAATGTTTGCAAACAAACCAAATCTGGTGATATCAGATGAGCTATATTTCCCACACAAACAAGGGGTAGGAGGGGTGGGAAATAACCTGACCTTCTTCTTGAGATTGGAAACGCTTAAAGGCATATGGGAAAAGCCCCCAGGGGAAAATATTCACTATTTTTTTTTTCAGCAGTTCAGCTCGGTGTCTGTTGCCCAATCATTTTCTTTCTTTCTTTTTTTTTTTTTTAATTTTTTTTCAACGTTTATTTATTTTTGGGACAGAGAGAGACAGAGCATGAACAGGGGAGGGTCAGAGAGAGAGGGAGACACAGAATCGGAAACAGGCTCCAGGCTCCGAGCCATCAGCCCAGAGCCTGACGCGGGGCTCGAACTCCCGGACCGCGAGATCGTGACCTGGCTGAAGTCGGACGCTTAACCGACTGCGCCACCCAGGCGCCCCTGCCTAATCATTTTCTTATCGCCAAATATTACATATTTACACAGGTGCTTCTCTGATTTAATTGTTTGGAAGCAGTCACTGGAAGCAAGGCTATGTGACTCGGCTTTGGTGATGCAGTCCAGCTGGGGTCTGACAGGTAGATAATTACCACTAATCAAGGCCTACATGAATTCAGGTTCTTCAAAGTCGGATGGGGGGTGGGGGGAAAGGGGTAGGGGTTATAAACGGACTGTTAGCAATATCAGGAGAAATAAGAGCTGAGTGGTCTAGTCTTAGCCGAAAACAGCAAAGAGAAGAGTTAGCAAAAGTAAGACCTCGACTGCCACGTGTATTATAGCACAGAGGCCTCTGGCTGGAGTTCTGGCATTCCCCATTCAGGCCTAATTCTCCTGGGGATCTTAGGAGCCTCTCTGTCAACCTGAGTTGGGTCATGAGCTACGTCCCTTCCAGTCCTCACAGGGTATAATCTCCCGATTTCCCGATGCGGTAATGCAGATTTCTTGACATAAAGAGGAAAAACGTGTCTTGCTCTGCTTTCTGTATCCATGAATACTGCTTCAAATAAATACTAAGAATGAGCACATTTGCTCCTTGACAACGAACCATAGGTTGTGAGTGCTTATTGAGTGAGCACACCTTGGGCGGGAGGCTGGCCACCCTCTTCAGGGGCCAGTGGAGGTTTCCCTGGCGTTATCAGGAAGGGAACCTGCCCCAAGGCCCAAGGCTCTGCACGATGTCTTCACAGGCTGCGAGGACATTTGTTTCAAAGTCGGCCTCTACTTGCTCTAGAGAAAGGCTCGCAGCCACGTTGGCTGGTCATTTTTCAGGCTCCTGGCAATGAACAAAACAGGTCTGATAATTTTCAGTAATATACTCAGGAAATGTGGGGTGCGGCTTTCAAGCAGTTGACACAGAAATCTGGTTCAATCGGTGTTGAGAGCCATGCCTGAAGAAGCCTTCTGTGTTTTGGGACCAGCCAGGGTAGCTGTACCAGCCACAACAAGGCCATATTTTGACTGGTTTTCATCAGTTTGACTCGGGTGTTTTTCCCTTCTTTCTTTTCTTTTTCTGCCCCTTGTGCAAGCATTTGGCTTCGAAGCACAAAAAAAGAATTTTTTTAGCTGCAACGCCAACCAAGTTCTCTCTTACTGTCTTTCATAAAATGTGGGTTGGAGGATTTACCTCATGGTTCGACTCCTGGCTAGAAGTAAGCAAGAGTCTAACATCAGGGGAAAGTATTAAATGATCACCTGTGATTCTCTTTTTTATCCTTTTCTTTAGTCTGAAATTGTGGCGCACACGCCTCTGCTCTGAGCAGAGTCCCCACCACAGCTATGAATGGGGGGGTCTGGGAGAGAAACACCCTCTCTTGTCACAAAGAAAACATCACAACCCCGAAGGAAATTACCGACATCTTAAGGAAATGGTTCTGACTGAGGTCTTCCGACATGCAATACTATGTGCTGACTCAGGGAAAACTTAAGGCAACATGCTGAAAACATTTACAGGCCCGGAAAATAACTGGTTGAATAATTCAAGATGCTTTTAAGTTACAAAAAGAATACTTAAAAACAAATAAACCTCCCTTTCCAAAAGCCGTGTCGTAGAGTCGGCCACTCTTGAAATGAAAAAAACAGAGCTTGCCATCAAATGCAAATTCAGCCTCTGAAACTCCTCAACAATGGACAAAGAACCTCCACACCCCACACCCCTAATCGACAGATGGAAATAAATATCTGTTTCAGGACTTCAACATAGTTAGATGAAAAGTGAAATATTTAATCAATTCCTCAGATGTATTTTCGTCTGAGTGTGCTATATGTCAGCTCTTCCAAGTGTTCCACATTCCTGGATCATTTTAGGAGGGTTTTGTTTTTGTTTTTGTTTTTGCATTGCTACACAGCAGGTACTCAGATATGGACCAAAGTTTCTTAACCTGGGCAAGTATTCACACTTTGGGCTGAATAATTCTTTGCCGAGGAGACGATCCAGGCATTGTAGGATGTTTTAGAGCATCCTTAGTCACTTTTCACTAGATTCCAGTGGCACTCCCCCAGTTGTGACAAACAAAAATATCTCCAGACACTGTGAAATAACTCCTGAGGGAGCAAAGGTGCCACTGGTTAAGAACACACTTTACTTACTTTTATTAATTCGATGCCAAATGCACTCGATCAGGTAGGTGCTATTATTGCCCTCCTATTTCTTCATCATTCATAAGTAATGAGAACATAGCATAGAGGGCATTGAGTGAGCTGTTCAATTTCATTCTAGCGAGTGGCGAAAAGAAAAGAAAGAAGAAAAGAAAAGAAAAGAAAAGAAAAGAAAAGAAAAGAAAAGAAAAGAAAAAAGAAAAAGACTTCAACCAGGGGTACCTGGTGGTTCAGTTGGTTAGGGGTCAGACTCTTGATTTCGACTGAGGTCATGATCTCACCGTTCATGGGTTTGAGCTCCACATCAGGCTCTGCACTGTCGGATTCGGGATTGGGATTCTGGCTCCCCCTCTCTCTTCCTCTCCCCTGCTCACTATCTCTATCTCTCAAAAAAAAATTAAAAAAAAAAAGACTTCAACTAGATCTGCAAATGTTATACTTAAAAAATGTTTATTTTTCAGAGAGAGAGAGAGAGAGAGAGAGCACAGGCAGGGGAGGGGCAAAGAGAGATAGGGACAGGGGATCTAAGTGGGTTCTGTGCTGACAGCAGAGAGCCTGACACGGGGCTCAAACTCACGAATTATGATATCATGACCTGAGCTGATGTCAGATGCTTAACTTGACTGACCCACCCAGGCACCCCTGCAAAGGTTATACTTTTTATCCTACCACTGTCTATATCCAGAATCTGAATTGAGCAATACTGTAGGTGCTTTCTCTATAGTCTAAGATTTCTAAAAATACAGAAATAAATGAACACATTCTTAAAAGAGTTGCTAAAATGTCACATTATGCAAATCTCCTTCCAAATCAAAGACGTTCATTGGAAGGTGGGGAATGACCATCCGATGGGGCATACCTGGATGACGGTAACTGAGACACATGTAACCGCTGCCATTTGCTTGACCTTTGCTGTTTCAGCTCCCTGAATGGATAGGCAAGTCTAGAGCCTGCCAGATTCACCATAAAGCAGACCACCCTAACACTACCGCTTAGCAAAAACGACATTGGGATAATGGAAAGAGAACGGAACTGGGTTCCGAGGGTTGGGCATACCTAGGCATTTCTGCTCACTAACTCTGGGAATTCGGGGAAGTTGATTAATTTCTTTTAGCTTCTGATTCCTCATCTGAAACTAAGAAGGACAATCACACCTCTGCCAAAGTGGTTATAAGGACAAGTTAATACATGCAAAGCCCAGGACATAGAACTTGGTAGGAAACAGGCACTCGGTAGAGGGACATGAAAACACTTATTGAGCTTTCACTGTATACCAAGTACTGTGCCAAGGGCTTTACATAAATTATTCAGCTTAATTCGTGAGGTTTGTCACCTGCCTGTTCTGTTAGGCAGGCACCCCTTCTTGGGTCTGTTTACTTATCTGTTATCTGTCTCCTGCACTTACAGAACAGCAAGGAGCGTGCCTGTTTTAGTTACTGTGGTAAGGCAGTGCCTCATACCTCCATCAATGTTTGTTGAGTTATTAATGAACCAATTTCTTCTTAATGAAAGAAGACAGATACACCTGGGAACAATCTTAGGCTGTCTCCTATGAAGCACTCTTGATCCTTTCATGGCAGCATTTCTGGGATTCGTTCCTTTCTCCTCATTCCCGCACCCACCATCCCGCTCCTGACCCTCACTGCCTGGAGTCTGGACTACCCGAGTCACATCACAATCTTCACGTGGTTCCTAGCCTCCTCTCACACCCACCCCTGCTCCTCACCGCTGCCACAGGAATCTTCTTCACGCACCCCCATCAGCAAATCACGACCATTCACTGGCAACCCAAGCCTTCCATGATCGATCCCACTTTCCCTAACCCATCTCATCTTCTGAGACTTACTAACAGTATCATCATTCCAGGCAGATCATTATCTGCTTGAACGTTCTGCTACAGGGACCTGATGATCATCCTGTTACTTATTTTTTTTTAATTTTTTTTCACGTTTATTTACTTTTGAGACAGAGAGAGAGACAGAGCATGAACGGGGGAGGGTCAGAGAGAGAGGGAGACACAGAATCGGAAACAGGCTCCAGGCTCTGAGCCGTCAGCACAGAGCCCGACGCGGGGCTCGAACTCACGGACCGCGAGATCGTGACCTGAGCCGAAGTCGGACGCCCAACCCACTGAGCCACCCAGGCGCCCCAATCCTGTTACTTATTTAGTGCGTAGTTTACTGAGTGCCTCTATTATACACATACCATGTACGTGTGCTCCTACCACACAAAACAGAATTACTGTCCTTGGGACTTTAAAAACACGGTTAAGGAGAAAAGCACCAACACAATTGTGATATACTACTACCTATCCATTTGAAAAGGGTACAGGATGCCAAGTAGGCACCTGGGAGGGTCTGTCACCCACAACTGGGAACTCAGAGAAATGTTTCCAGTTGAGGCGGGGAGAGCTAGATAACCTGACCCCTCACACGTCAAAAAAGGAAGAGAGCTTGGCTAGGAAAAACAGCACAGAGACAATAGCAGAAGGAAGAATACGGCTCACTTCACCCATGAGCCACATGAGCCCTACTCTCAGGACAACGGGGAATCACAGAGGAATTCACAACAGGTTAGGTGAAATGTAACTGTTTGAGACTCTAAAGGAGGGTGGTGCTGCCATGAGGACTTTACCAAGTCACCATTTCTTCTTTATAAAATATAGCCTTACGGAGCAAATCCATTTCCCGGCAGAAAGAAGGAATGTCAGGAGCGTCTGGGTGGCTCAGTCAGTTGAGCGCCAACTCTTGCTTTTGGCTCAGGTCATGATCCCATGGTTCGTGGGTTCGAGGCCTGCGTCAGGTTCTGTGCTGGCAGCTGTGAACCTGCTTGGGATATTCTCTCTCTCTCTCTCTCTCTCTCTCTCCCCGCCCCCCCCACCCCTCTCCTGACCTCTCTCTTGCTCTCTCAAAATAAATACTTTTTTAAAAAGAAAAAGGGAATGTCAAACAAAAGGATTTTTGTCCTAGTCTTTGGGAAAAAATCTGAAAAACCCTACACTGAGGTCCTCTCTGAGCTGTTAACAACTTTGGTGCTTTTCCATGCCTCGATTTCCTCATCTGTCAAATGAAGGGAATTAACGGACTATATGATCTACCAGGCTTTTCCTAGCTCCTTCCTCCTCTGAATCCTGACCTCTTGCAGATGGTCATTTTGAAGCTAGAAATCTGCTAAGAAGACCCATTTGAGAAGCTTGTTAGAATCGTGGAAACCCAAACCTCACCCTCTGAAATGTAGGTAAGGTAGGTGTAAAGTGGGAACATTTAAAAATAAAAGTGCCCCAAGTGAATCTCCTACACTGGTTTTCAGATCGAACATTTGAGAAACTCTGACAGAAAGAAGCGTCCCTTCATTTAAATGGAAATAGAGGGGCGCCTGGGGGGCTCAGTCGGTTAAGTGTCCAACTTCGGCTCAGGTCATGATCTCACGGTTTGTGGGTTTGAGCCCCGCGTCGGGCTCTGTGCTGACAGCTCAGAGCCTGGAGCCTGCTTTGGATTCTGTGTCTCCCCCCCCGCCTCTCTGCCCCTCCCCAGCTTGCACTCTGTCTCTCTCTCTCAAAAATAAATAAAACGTTACAAAAAAATTAAAAAGAAAAAAGAAATAGAAAAGAGGCCTGGAGATGACTACCCTTTCAGGAACTGGCCCCTATACAGTTAATCATAAAGAGCCCCAGTATCCAATTATACCTTTGGGAAATAGAAGCCAAATTAGAATAGATCACCTTAGGGTACCTGCATGGCTCAGTAGGTTGAGCACCCAAATCTTGATTTTGGCTCAGGTCATGATCCCAAGGTTGTAGGATCAAGCCCCATATCCGGCTCTCTGCTGAGCATGGAGCCTGCTTAAGATTCTCTCTCTCTCTCTCTCTCTCTCTGCCCCTTTCCCATGCTCGCAGGCTCTCTCTCTCTCTACCTCCCCCAAATAAAAGTAAAATAATTTTTTTTTAAAAAAGATCATCTCAAAAAAAAAAAAAAAGATCATCTCATTGGAATTGAAATGGAGAGACTATCTATCACCCTTGTTGATTCTATGCTGTGTGCCCTGCCCTGTGCCAGGGGGCCTGTAATTGTCACAACCAGGTGGCAGCATCACTAGTTTCCAACATTAAGAGGCTGTGGCATTTGCAAGTGAGGAGTTAGTATCACAAATGGTCACAGGCTTTGGTTACCTCTTCTAGTTTCCCATCACCTGGAGATAATTTTCCAGCATATACTGAACATATACACCCTTTGCTTTAGTGTTGCTTCCCCAGTACTTGATCATTTGAATCAAAACAATTATCTCACCAATATACTACCCTAATACATAACTGAAAACATGCCAGTCTTTGAGGATGGGCTCAAGAAAATCAATTTTCCCAGCTCTTCCTTGCCTTCAGATATGCCCTGAAATAGGTAAGATCAAAATAAAATGCATCAAAGAATTCATCCATGGAAATCTTTGCAGGAAATAATCCCTCAACCATTGAGAAAGTTAGTCAGGCTCTCAAAACCAGGGTTACTCTCTGTGTGCAAAACTGTAATTAATGTCAAACTAAAACAAGCCTAAGATGAGGTACTCTCAAACAAAGAAATGCAACATAAGGAGAATTTGATTTTAAAGGCTAAGGATGAATTCAGAATTAAGCACTGAAATAGATGTTCAGGTATTAACAACTGCTCCTTGTTATCACCATCAAAATGTTCTTGGCATTGAGGACGATGAGCCGGTAGCATGATTAAGCCGAGCGGACAAAGCTTTAAAGGAACATTTGCCTTGAATTTTAGTTTAAGGTCAGTGTGTATCCTTCTCACAAGGATAGTTTTCAGAGAGAACTTATTCATTCATGTCCAGTACCAATTACGTTGACAATGCAACTCCCATAAAAAGAAGAGGGAGAGAGCTCCCATCTTGGATGACCAGGTAGCCCCGTGAGGCAAAATGAGCTTCAGAGACAGACCTGAATTTAACTTCTTGCTCTGCCACTCACTAGCTACAGGTCTTTGGCAAGTGGCAAAACTTCTCAGGGCTTATGCCATGCCCTCTCGTTTGTAACGCAAATACTAACCAGTACTTTAAAGAAATACCAGGAAAACGAGAGGTAACATGTGAGATGTGCTTAGGACACAGCTTGGTAAAAGAAGTCACCACAGACAGTAACCATTATAACTGAGTAGCATTCACATGAATTGGTTTCTTTGAGCGGCGTCACAAACACCACCCTCTCGTCAAGATACAGTTCTGTGAAAAAGAGAGTTTCTGAACCTGCAGAGCTGTGCACCGTTCTGTAGACACCCTCAAGACTCAGGCAAAATTAGGCTGCCATTTTCAACAATCTCCCCTGTGGCCCAAAGCTTTCCTTATAGTTTAGTGGCCGGCATCATTCTACACAGAACTTTTCAATGTTATTGCCAAAAACTCCATGAAACCATGTTCTGAGACTCTTATATATCACAGAGATGGTGCTTATTAAATAATAACCTTATTTTCCTTTTCTTTACGACTCTAGGGCAGAAATAACCAGTCTTGAAACGACATCATTCACCTATCTATAAATATCTACGGAACACAAGGTGTTATGTGCTCGGGATACAACGCTGGCCTCCTGCTCAGCAGGATGGGGAGGCAGACAAGGAAAAGGACTGATAAGTGAATGAGAGCTAGCCGAGGGAGAAGATACAGGGGAAGTGCTTTGGGCACAGGGATTAAATGCAAGGCTTCAAAGTGGCAGAACAAGGTGAATCCCATACAGGCAAGATTTTTGGTAGGGTTGGAATGGGACTTTCCCAAAGTATTGAGTCCTGCATCACCTCACGTTGGTCAAGTGTTTGATTTCAGGTAGACTACTGTAAATTTCCTCCAGATCCCTGATTTGTAGAATACCCACTGAGAATAATAAAGGGCTTTGAGGAAAACAAATCCAAGCCAAATTTCCCATTTCACGACTGGGTGTCTACACAACTTGGGCAGGTCACGTGTCATCCTTGAGCCTCAACTTTGGTATTTACAAATGGAAGAATAATACCTACTTTGTTGAGCAGGTGTGACCATTAAATGTAGTGATAATTCGGTTAAAGAACCTAATGGATGCCCAGACATGTGATAGGCACTCAATAAACTCCAACCTCTACCCATAACTGACAGCTGAAATCTGTACATTTCCAGCCGGCAAACACTGATAAAGTACCTGTGATTAAAAAAAAAAAAAAGTCAGGTATATCATATTTAGAGTTTTCTGTTTTGGAAACCAAAATCCCTCATTAATAATAATCATACGACTGTAATACTACTATTGAGTACTTACTCTGGGCCAGACATGACGGGAAGCATTCATTTTAAACTCTTAAATCTTACAACAATCCTATGAGGTCATCTGTATTTCATGAAACACCGCTGCCATTTTCTACAAAAGAAAAAAGTTCATGAACTCAAATATATTTTGACATTTTGGATGAAACTAAGTGAAACAGGTTTGTTACCTTCGGAGCTTCTCAGAGCCTTTAATCTGACAATATGCATGATCAAATCCCAGAGAGAAGAAGAAAGTCTCAAGGGTTTTCCAAGTATATTTGACCATTAAATCCTTTTTTGGTTGGATGTGTATTGAAATACTTTTTAAACATACTTTGTGAACGGCTCAAAAAAGAATTAACAGCTCCATCTCTAGAAAACTGGGGCTCAGAGAAGTAACTTGTCTGAGGTCATCCAACTAACAAAGAGGATGAACCGTGATTTGAAACGGGATCTTTCTAATTCCAAAAACCATGCTCCTGGCTACGGGACAATTATTTGCAACACTGCCCCAGTTCTTAGAAACTGTTAAGGCTGCAAAAACAGGCCTTTGCACCAAGTTCTGACAATTCCAGATAGAATACCCTCCGAAAGAAAACCTTAGGATATTAAGTCAGGAGTCTGGGGATGGCAATCACCCCCCGTGCCGGGAAAAGGCAAAAAGGCAAGACCCCCAGGACCCATTCTGTCCTGCTACGGAAACTTGCTAAGCCCTGGACACAAAGCTCACCTAGACACCCACCTTATTGCCTCTGGTTGTGCCCTGGGCTGTTTCCCCCGAATCTCAGAGCTCACGCACTACATCCGCGGCCCAATCCCTCTCCCTACCTCTCACTATTTTACTGGTGCTTAGTGACAGCTCACACCTGGCTGTTCCCTCAGCAAGGCAAATGCAGCCCACCGCTGAGCGGTTGCTAAAGTAAATAACTCACTTAACCCAAACCTAATAATCCCTCTACAAAACTCAGGGAATATGAAAAAGAATTACCCCATCCAGTTCCCTCGGCATTATGGGAACAGGCAGGCCTTTCATTTACTCCAGCAGTCCATATGTTTGAAGGTCAAACAACACCTGGATATTTCTTTGAAATAAACTAATTGAGCCTGGATGATTTAGAGTCAGTCTTGCTGAAAGGCTCACTGGATCACCAATCGTAAGGCAAGACCTGCTTTTGAAAAATCCTGGATCCTCCAACCCCAGCTTTGTCAAAGGCGATGAATATTTGATGCTGTTCAAAGATTAAGACCTGGACCAAACTGAGAAAAGAGAAAGAGAAAGGATTGCTTTCACACTGCTATGAAAAGGAGTCTTGGCCCCAGGTGTTCAGGGTGGTAAAGAAATCAGAGCCAGCCAAAGAAAAATCAGGCAGAGAGCCTAACGAGGAATAGTTCTCAGCCACTACGTGTACATATCAAGCACCTGGGAAACACGTTAACAATGCAGGCTTCCTGGCCAGCCTTTCCCTTTTGTTCCTCTCAGAGCCGGTTTTCATGGAAACCCTGTTTATAAGAACGACACAGAATTAGCACATACAGAGACCAGTTTGACTCGGAGCGGGAGGAAAACATCGACTTCACTAATTGGTTTTGCTGCATATGCCACTGTGTACTCCAGTTGCTTGATCTGCTTTGTGCACAGGCAGCTTCAACCTGTGAGCCAAAGGTGAGCTTAGAGGAGAAAACCTCTCCCAGCTTATGGGTGGCCTCCTAGGTTCAAACACATAATGTGGGACCTTGTACTTCTTCATAGCATTTATTGTCACTGTGGTGAACAGTTTTCCCACTGGACTGTCAACTCTATGAGGACCGTGCCCATCGTGAGCACTAACACAGCCCCGGAACCTAGTACACACGGGCACATACGGGTGCTCCCTAATTATTTCCTAATCAGTGAATGGCCTTAGAAACCAGTGAACAGGCTAACAGGAAGTTCCTGGAGCAAATATATTGGCAGCTAAATAATTTTTGAGGAAAAAAAACTGAGACCTTGCACAGATACCTGATTTTTATCTTAAAATTTTTATTTTTTTTTTTATTTTTTTTTCAACGTTTATTTATTTTTGGGACAGAGAGAGACAGAGCATGAACGGGGGAGGGGCAGAGAGAGGGGGAGACACAGAATCGGAAACAGGCTCCAGGCTCTGAGCCATCAGCCCAGAGCCTGACGCGGGGCTCGAACTCACGGACAGCGAGATCGTGACCTGGCTGAAGTCGGACGCTTAACCGACTGCGCCACCCAGGCGCCCCTATCTTATAATTTTAAAATGTGCATTCTTGTTAAGAACCACTCTATTTGGTTTTCATCACACTCAACCTTAAGATTAAGGGAGATTTTGGAAACTGGAATAATGGTAATTAACGGTGTAGTTGTAATTGTAACGATGCTCGGAGCTAACATTTATCAAAGACTTGTGTGCTTCGCCGTGTCCCAGGTTTTATCCATGTAGTACTTCACTCCATTGGCCCCCTAAACCTGTGAGGTAGGTATCCCATTTGAGAGGAAGAAGGCACTGGAAGCTGACCATGAGAACTCCGGTCTGTCTGTGCTCTCGAATAGTTTACACAAACTGTAAGGGAAAATTCATCTGAGCACAGGCTCTATCCTCTTACCAGACACTACAAACAGCAACAAGCAAAACCAGATACCGTCCTAATTCTTTTGGAGTTTATAGTCTAGTGGGGGAGACAGATGTTAATCTATAACCAGAAAAATGAGAAAATAAATACAACTATTTTAAGTGTTATGCAGAAGCATTCTATGGTATTAGGAGGAATTAGTCATCATCAGCTTTCTTAAGCTAAGATCTCAAGGAAAAGTAGACATGAACCAGGGAAGGAGGAGAGGATGAAGCTTCTAAGGAAAAGAGCTGTGTAAAGGTCCTGTGGTAGAAAGAAACATGTTGCTATATGAGGGAATGGGAAAAAAAAAAAAGGTGTAAGAGACTGGAATAGTAAGAGCAAGAGGCCAGATTTGGCTAGAAAGGAAAGTAGGCTCTAGAGCACTGGTTTTTCAAACTTGAGTAGACACATCATAATCATCTGGAGGACCTGCTAAAACACAGTGTGCTGGACCCCATCCCCAGAGTTTCTGATACAGTAGACTTTGAATTTGAAAACACACACCTGGGTGATGTCGATGCATTCTTAGACCATACTTTGAGAACCACTGCCTTAGACTATACAGCATCTGGTAGACCAGGGCATGGGTTTCTGATTATGTCCTAAGGAGAATGGAAAATTATTGAGGGATTCGAAGCATGGAGGTCATGTGACCCAATTTACATCTGAAGGAAAAAAAAATCACTCTAGCATCAGGGTGAAGAAAATACTGCAGGGAGGACAGCGTGGATGGAGGGAGACCAATCAGAAGGTATGTTGCAGTTGTCTAAAAAGAGTTGTGGCTTGGACTAGAGTGTGAGACAGAAGTAGATAGATTCAAGAGAGATTGAGGAGGATGAAATCAGTAGGACATAAGTGATGAATATGAGGGTTAAGAGAGAGAATAGTTTCCTGGCTTCTACTGGAGCAACTAGACAGTGTTGCTGTTCACTGAGAGACACCCTGGATGAGGACCCGGCCGGGAGGAGAAGATTATGCGCTCAGTCTTGGACTTGCTGAGTGTGAGGTCCCTTTGAGGCATTCACAAGATGGCAAGTAGACAGTTAATGTACGGGTCTGGAGTTAAGTGGTGAGATCAAGACTGGAGATAAAAACTGTGAGTCATGTGAGAATATGTGTGATATGAAACTATGGGGGTGGATGAGATCACCAGGGAGGGAAACTAGAATAAAAAGAGTAGAGGGTGTAGGGCTTCTAACATTTAACTTCTGGGTAGAAGGTGAGCCAACACATGAGAGAGACAAGGAGTAATAGGACAAAACTCAGGAAGAATTGTGCCCTGAAGCCAAGGAAGGGAGGCAACAGGAGGCCGTCATGCAAGTGCTGCTCAGAAGTCAACTAAACTAAAGACTAAGGAATATCGATTGGAGTTAGGAAGGTAGAGATGACCATGATTAGAGCTGATTTGGTGAAGGGAGAGAGAAGAGATGGGAGTAGGCTATACCTGAAACCGGGGGGGAGAGGGTGTCTCACCCCCAGCCTTTATTTGCTATTATTTTCAATCTCTCCTCTTTCCATTTACAGTTCAAATACATTATTTCCCCTCCCTGTTCACTGTCAGATGAATCAAAAGTTCACACTTTCCATTTTTTCCTCTCTTTATTCTTCGTACCACTGCAACTGGACTTCTGATCTCATTACATTTTTATTGAATACCACATTCATTTTGTATTTGTTGTCTCGGTGCCCAAAATAGTTGCAAAATTTTACCAACTCCTAATTTTCATCAAAGGAGATCTCAGCGCCAAGTCCTAGATCCTGGTCTTAGTTCTCTCATTGGCCAATCACCTTCGGAGAATGGATAATCAAGGGGAGATGTGCTGATCAGGCCAGGGGAAGGCAAAGACAATGTCAAGTTAAAGATCACAGAAGTCCTTTATCCTACTTGAAGAGTCTGTCTGAATGTCTATGGGAAAAAATTTTTTTGGCTGGCCCCAATCAGTCCTTGCTCAACAGCAAACTTAAGAGTTTGGGATTCAGAGCCAGTTGAGTTGGGATTCAGAGCCAGCTTGGCTCTGCAGCTTACCTGCTGTGTAAACTTGGACAAGGTGCTCAACCTCTCTGAGACTCATTTTTTATTCATGGATAAAACAAACATAAGAATAGATACCTCAAAATATGGTTGTAAGGGATTAACTGTTCAGTTTAGTGTCTAACTCCCATTAAGCAATAAATGCATTTTGATAGTGAATGCAGTGGGCCCAGCAGACAGAAAGAAGAATAATGAAATGCAAATGGACAAGATGGCACTGGTTTCCACAGTCACCCCTAATTCCCAAGTATTTGGGCTTTTCTATCCTGGCCCCTTGAAAGAACTTTTAAATTCATTACACTTTTAAATTCATTCGCTATGGATTGTGTCTTCTTTGATCAATATTGTACTCTTCTAAAAGGGGGCTTGTTGAGTTGCTTTTTAAAATTAAATACTCCCAAGTTTTTACTGTTCAGCTTCTATTCAAATAAAAACAGGTAATGAGATGAGTTATAAAACAA